GATATATATTAACACTAAAAATTTCAAGTCAAATGCTTATCTACTTCTTGAGATATAGATGTCACAAAAAATATAAAAAAATGCACTTTTTTTTTGGTGAGGGTGTCCTCAGAAAAATTTTAATATCTTGGAAACGGAACAATATTTTTTCAAACGGCTAGCGTCAGAATTCCTAAAACTCTTGCCTCTATAATACATATAACACTGAGAAAAATCTGACGCCCTTGATCGAGCACCTTCTATGATAGGCGGTCGCGGCTTATGCGAACTGGCTCATATATATCGTCGATAACTGATTATTCAAACCATGACGTTCTGAATGATTTTCATTGGTTTCGGTTCAAAATTCTATTACTTGCAACTGAGGGTGATAGGGCTCTGAAGTTCGATGGTAGGCCTAAGCTCCTCCTGACTCTCCTTTGGTTACATTGCTACACGTATATAGTGTATGGTTATGAGAGTGAAGATGTGATCTGTAGCCAAAAAGGAATTGGATTTTCGGCTAAAGTACGAAAAATGATTAAGTCTATCCCGACTTTTTTTAAGTCCAGAATATAATTTTCCTCTCCAACTAAATAGCTATGCCTGTTTTCACTACTGATAACGTTCGACTTGTGCCTTCCTTTTTTTTTTACAATCAATATTTTTGAAGAAAATCTAATCATGTTTTTTTTTGTATATGTGAAATATTATTTTTCTTTTTTTTTTGAACATCTTTTTTTCGATATCGTATAAATGAAAATAGTATCACAGAACAGATAAACGAAAGAAAAGAAAGAAAAAAAAGACAAAATGTTCATCCACAGATTAATTTGACTATTCAGTGAGGTCATTCATTCATTTTGTTCAATGATAACAATGAGAACAAATCAATAATGAACATATATATATATGCATAATAATAAGAAAAGCATTTGTCAAATCTAACATGAATCAATCTAAAATTAATCTTCTTAATCTACCTAATGAAATATTATTTATTATTTTAAAAAAGTTAAACAATATGGATGTTCTTTATTCGTTATTTGATGTTGATAAACAACGACTTGATATTCTTTTACAAGAAAATATTTTTACTAATACTCTCAATTTTGTATTAACAACATTAACTGATGATATTTTATCACTTGCTAATCCAATAATTAATCAATTTTGTATGAATATATTACCAAAAATTCATTATAATGTTAAATCTCTTACTGTTGATTCAATATATATGGAACGTATTCTTCTTACTGGTAATTATCCTAATTTAACTGAACTTAAATTATTTAATTTTAATGATAAATTTGTTTCACATTATTTTACAGGTACTATTATATAGATAGATTAGATAATATTTTTTATTTTTTATTTTTTATTAAGTTGAATCATCATTTCGGCATGTATTTCAACGACAAATAACAGATCTTATTCTTGTATTCAAAGATGATTTTAATGACATTACAATTAAACAGCATACAACAGATATTTATGGATATATTTTAAAATTCTTTGAAAATTTAAAACATTTATCTATTATTCGATCATTTCCTTACTATTATTTACCATTGAAATATCGTAATCGACCATTAACTACTTTTTTTTCTTCAACACTTTCCAAATTATCTATTCATGTTCTGTATTATGATGATTTTCTTGCTTTAGTTGATGGTCATTTTAAACAATTAACAACATTAATTGTTGTTATAACTGATATGAAATATGATTCATCAAATGTTTACAATATGGTATGTTTATATTTTATTAGATTAATCTTTTTACAATTTAAAAAGAAAATACTAATGATTATAGTTATAAATATTTTTAGACTATTATAGATAGATTTTTTTTTCTTAATGAATTAATATTTATTTAAATCAACTATAACTAAGTAGTTGTAAAATGATCATTCATCTATTTGATGAATAAATATAATTAATTTTTGTATCTCATATGATCTTAATAATTAATAGGCATTTTATGCCTATGAGTAGATTTGAAGAAATAAATCGATTGGATTCTTCTCTAATTTTCATAATGTTGATCAAAAGTTTTTGAATTCTCTCAGTGTAGATTAAAGTTTAGAAATACAATATAATTATCTTAGTTATTATTGCAGCATATATTTATATATCATAGAATAGAAGAAATATTTAGAAATAAATTAAATAAAAAAAGAGAATTTCAATGAATTATTTATCTGAATTTCTTCTTATTTTAATCGATAATAATATAATTATGAATATTGATTTTTATTTTCTAGGATAATCTACGTAATTTAAAATGTTTTTCTTTACAATGTTATAGTATATCTGATCAATATGATATTCAAATATTACCTCTTTTTCATTATGTGTTAAATCTTGAAGAATTAACTTTATATCTTACTATTGACAGAAGAACTACATTTATTGATGGTAATCATATTTATAATGAAATTCTTATTCATATGCCACAACTTCATACATTTAATTTTTGTTTTTGTACTGATATTCGAATCAATCCATTAGTTAATCATTTATCAAAAGATGATATTCAACAAACATTTACTAACATAAAATGTCAACAACAAATGGAATGTATTGTAAACTATCTAAATCTTACTGGTACATGTCATATATTTTCATTACCATTTATGTTTGATTATCTTGAATGTATTGGTAATACATTTCCAAGTATTATTTTCAATCATGTTCGAAGATTGTGGATACACGATGAAATTCCATTTAATCATGAATTTTTCATTCGAATTGCTTGCTCTTTTCCTTTACTTAAGGAATTATATGTTATGAATGATGAACCACAATCATCAATATTAGATACATTAAATTCTAATGATAATCAATTATCTTCAACAATTATTGAATATCCTTATCTTATTTCGCTTGATATCTCAAATTGTCATATTGATTATATTGAAGAATTTCTTAATAATACAAAAATACGTCTACCTCATCTAATGAAATTAACAGTTAATTATGATCAATTAATAATTGTTACAGAAAACTTCACAAGAGATGTAACACGACTCAATTGTACTAAAGTAAAAGAATTAAATATCTATGAAACAATAGTACATTCAAAAGATTTCTATGTTTATTTTCCTTTATTGTAACTTTTTTTTTGTGAGTAATTTAATAAAATGAATAATAAAAATATAAATAATATTTTTTTTTATAATCTAATTATATTGACAAAGAGTTTTGAATTACAAATGCTTATTACGTTGTGTACTACAAAAGTTTTGTCGTTGCACTCTTCTAAAGTCCATGTTTTTCAGTAAAATTATACTTTAATGGTTAAATGTTGTTCAGATTCTATGAAAAATTTCAGAGTTAAAAGTTACGCATCACATTATATTTCTGCATTTCTTTCAGATCAGTGAATCAGCATTTTCTCGATGAATTTTTAATTGTCACATGAATATTTTCTAAATAAGATTCGACATGAATAGTAAAGTGGCTTAATCAATTAGAGAAGTTTTGTCAATTTAGTATGAGCATGAGAAGATTTAATATCTTAAAGGGTGAGTCATAAGTCTTGATACTTGATAGAAAAATTTATTTTTTTCCCTTATTACAAATCCAAAAATGCTAAAACTCGGGCATATAATCTATGGCAACATGATGAATATTATACCAAATTTTCATAACTCTAGTCCTAGTTATAAGGAAAATATATGCCTCCAAACTATAGGGAAGATTTTTTTCGCAGGCCGTAATCGAATTTTTATTCATAAAAAAACATCTGGAATAATTATTTTCGGAATGTAAAAAGGTGAAAAAGGAACAAATTAATATGGATAGATTTTTATATATTAAATTAATTGAACAGCAATTAAAACCATATATTGATACATTATATGATGATGTTGATGTTATATGGCAAGATGATTCTGATTCAAAACATCGCTCTCAATATGCATTAAATAAAATAAACGAAATATTTAATGAACGTGTTGAACCTGAAGAACAAGCTGCTAAAATGACTGATATATGGTCAATTGAAAATATTTGGGGTTATATCAAATAGAAATGAAAAGAAGAGGATTCGATAATGTAATAATGCTGAAACAAAGAATTATAACAATCTGGAACACCATTACTTCGCAAATGTGTTCAAAATGGATAAATTCAATACCAAAAAGATTACAATGTTTGATCAAAAAAAAAGGTTATTCAATCAACAAAAGTGATTATAACAACATATCAAAACATAAATTTTTCGATTATTTTCTATTGTATTTTTCATAAAAAATAATCATTCCAGATGTTTCTTATGAATAAAAATTTGATTATGGCCTGCCAAAAAAAAACTTCCCTATAGTTCGACGACATATATTTTCCTTATAACTAGGACTAGAGTTATGAAAATTTGAGATAATATTCATCATGTTCCCATAGAGTATATGCCCAAGTTTTAGCATTTTCAGATTTGTAATAAGGGAGAAAAATAAATTTTTCTATCAAGTATCAAGACTTATGACTCACCCTTTACCTTTAAGAGATATGAATAATGCAGAATATTTCGATCAAACTAATACATAAATAAAAGTATCATATGAGAAACTTAAAACTGAAAATGATTAAACTGAATCATTGTAATTAATCAGTGATAACAAGGAAATCATCTCACGACTTTCATATACATCAAAACATCATCATCATCATTGTTCATTATAAAAAAAAATATCTAAATAATAATGAATTTCAAGTTATCGATTCTCCATTTAAAAAAATTTAAACGAATACCATATTTTCAACAAACATGAAATTATTTTTATTCATCTCCACCAACAATTTATAATCAAAAATCTTATTGACCACCTAATACACATAATAATAATTATTATAGATCAAATCTCAGTGAATATTATAGCATACGAATATTTAGTCAATATTATAAATATCCAAAAAAATAACTTAAAAGATATAGAGCTGAACAAGAATTTTATGATCATTATTTAAATAATAATAAAAATAACTAAAAAAAAATTTAAATACAAAATTTTTGAGGATTCTCTTTTTTTTACAAAGAATTTACTATATGACTTGACTTTTAGCTTATTTATAATCTCCAAAAGAATCCTTAAGGTTTCTTTGCTAAAAAAGATATTTTCAAATCATAGTCAATATCTATGCATCATTTTAATAAACATAATAATTACTAAAATTGACTTTCATAATCATAAAATAAATTTGAACCAAATTTCTTCCAGAACGATAATGATAGAAATCTTCAATCAGTGGCGTAGCCAGGGGTAGAGCCATTGGGCAATTGCCCATAGCTCCAAAAATCATTACCCACGGATTTATTGAGTTATGCAGTGCTTGAACAGTTGTTGCCCACAGATATTTTTGAAAACATCAGAATTTTCCTCAGCTGCCCATAACTCAAAATAGTTTAGCTGGTGAATTGCCCATGATTCAAAAATTCCTGGCTACACCACTGTCTTCAATGTATCTTTCTATAATAAAAACACAATTCGGAGAATTTTCTTTCACGATAAACATTGCCATCTATCGGTCCTTTTTTCAATTAATTCTTATCAAACTACTAATAAGAACAAAGAAAAAAAACAAAAAAATCAATCAATCAAACACACATTTATACAACATACAAACACATAATTAGAATATTTTTTGTTTTTAAATCTATTTTGAAAAACAATTTATTGTGATGTTAATCAAGGACTTACCAGCATTACGCAACTGGCTTGTTACAACACTTGAACCATTGTAAATGAATTGTTTTTTGAATAAAAATTTTATTTTATTATTTTTATTAGGTGTGGTGCTGAACCAATAGGTCTTGCTAATGATATTTTAAGACTTTTTACTAGAGGTGGATCATTTAAAATACTTCGTAGAAGTTGTATTCGTCGTCTTAAAAATATTTTAAATGAATGTATGAAAATCTTTTGTTTTCTCAAAAAAATTTATTAATTTTTTTAATAGCAACTGTCAATTTTGTTGATCAATTATTTGATAATATTGAAAATGGACAATATATATCTGAAAAAGAAAAAGTAAGAGAAAGAAAAAAAATTAAAAACAGTTTATTTATTTATTAAATGCATTAATTAGGAAAATATTCCACCAAAACCAATTAAAAATACAACTAAAATATTTGAACAACAAGAAAATAATCGTGAAATTCAATCGATATCAAAATCAACAACATCTCCATTTACGACTATAAATAGATCAATAAAAAGGTAAGATTGTTATACATAAAAAAATTTTATCTTTAATTCCTTTTCTTTAGAACATATTCTTCTATGTCTGAAAATTCATCATCAACTAAACGTATTCAATATTCTTATTCTCATTTATCAACAGATCCAGTATCATTATCAAATACACATATTATTAGGTATTGCTTTTTAATATCTTATCTGAATTCTCTTAGATTCCATTCTATACTAAGACAAAAAGATGAATGCTGATGACAATTGATCTATACAACTTAGATATTGAGATTAATTTGTTTTTTCAATATTTTTTTTGTTTCTCGTTTTATTTAGAAAGTGCACGACTTGCTTTGAAGATCTACCTAACGAAATTCTATATGATATGTTCGAGTATATTGATATATATGATGTTTATCAAATTTTTTTCAATGTTAATCTAAGATTTCAACGTTTATTAATTGATTCATCTGTTCCAATTCAAATTGTCATAACAAATTTATCAATACCAAATGTTGAACTTTATTATAAAAATTTTCTTCTTCCTAATAAACACCGAATCAATCGTATTCATGTATCAAATCCATTTATAGTTCATACATTTTTTTTACCATCATATGGTATTTCAAAATTTAGTAAAATTGAAATATTACGTGTTTATGATATTAAATCAATATATATTAAAAATATTCTTGATTTTTTAATGGATTTACCAGAATTATATTCATTAACTATAAATGTTATTGATAATATAGATGATGTAAATATATTCTATATTAAAATATTTGGATTATCAAAATTAACATTTTGTCAAGTTGAATATAAATCAATCCCAAACAAAACAAATACAAATTACTTGGTTATAGATGCAACAATTTTTAGTCCGTTACAACAGTTAATTATTAATGCTGATTTTCCAACAAATTCATTAGATATTTTATTTTCGTACTTGCCTCAAATTCGTCGTTTATCAATTGATAGACTTACACCATCAACAACAAAAGAAATAAAACCAATTATTATGCCTCATTTAAAACATGTTACACTGAAATTGAACAACATCAAGTTCAATGAATTTGAACAAATAATGAAGAATTTTTTTGAAAATATTCAAATCTTATCAATCAATACAAATAATGATCAAGATTATATTCAAGCAACTAAATGGGAACAATTAATCATAAATCATATACCAGATTTAAGTATATTTAGTTTATATTATGATGGAATTGATAGTACCACATCTATTCATAATCATTTTCAATTAAATGAATTAGTTGAAAATTTTAATTCAACGTTTTGGATTGAAAGAAAATGGTTTTTCAATTACCAATATGTTAATGAAGAATCATCAGATGGTGGTATTGTTTATACAATTGATCCATATAGGTAAAATTATTTCTATGATTTTTCTTTTATTTATTATTCAACAACAAATCATCCAATAAGTACACT